GGGGCAGGAGTGGGGCAGGAGTGGGGCAGGAGTGGGGCAGGAATGGGACAGGAGTGGGGCAGGAGTGGGGCAGGAATGGGGCAGGAGCCTTTGCCCGGGCAGGAAATGTTGAATCTCAACTCTGCAGAGCTCCTGTGGGTTCTGCCAGCCCTGCTCCAGGCCGTGGCTGGCCCTGCTTCACAGGGAACGGGGAAATGGGGGAATGGGGGAATGGGGGAATGGGGGAATGAATGCCCCATGGCCACCCTGCTCCCTGCTCAGCCTCTCCAGGTGTACTGGCAGCAGAGCTGAGGCTTGGCCCAGGATGCTCCCCAAAGCATTCCCTCATTAGTCCATCCTCGTGTTTTAATGAAAGGAGATGGATCTGAGTGATCTGAGGTTGCTGCTGAAGCTCAGAAGAGGTGAGCTGTAATTCAGAGYGTGGCCTCAGGTGAATTCCTACAGCTCCAAGGTCTGGTTTCATCATCTCTAGAGTGAGGATAATAATGAGAACTATAACACCTCTATCCCTCGCAAAGGACTTGAAAATAGTCTCACTTTTATATCTAAACCTAAACCCCTCCTCCAGTGCTCCAAAGGACTCTTTAATTTGTGGTGGCAATGCTTTGTGTGAGTGCCATGGGGAATCAGAGTGGTTTCTCTGTTTGGCCCCTTCCTYAACCCAGCCTGTGGATCCCTGGAGTTCTCCTCTTTGTGTACACTCTGGAAATCTGACTGGAGTCTTAAGAGCAGTCCTTTTGGACTCTAAAAGTAAGAGTGTTTTGGCTTCAGGGGCATCTTGGATGGTGGAAATAAGAGGAGAAATCCTCACTTCCCTTAAATCTTCTGCCTTTCCATTTTCAAAGACAAACTGGAAGTGGTAAGGGAGGGAGGTGTCCTCCACCAGCTTTGAGGACAAATCATTTTGAATTGAATTCTGTTGGATTCTTCAGTGATGTTTCCAAATACTTACCAGTGCATTCTGTGACACTCTTCATTTGCAGAGATTATTTTCCTCCGTGCCATCACACCTACATATCCAGCCAACCAGGCAGATATCATATTTGACATCACAGAAGGGAATTTAAGAGATTCCTTTGATATCATCAAGCGTTACATGGATGGAATGACAGTGGGTGAGTAGTGCTTTCTGCTTCCTTCCTTCTCTCATCTCTAATKTAGGACAAGGTCAAAGAAATTAACTCAAGTAATTAATTCCTACCTTGATTTTTGAGCCAGTGTTGATTTCACATTCTTCAGTCCATTATGTGTAATTTGAACTCATACCACAGATAATTTTTCATTCGAAATACCAGAGGCCTAAGATTTCATTTGAGAAGTATTTTAACTTTTTTTTTTTTTCAAAATGCAAATGGCTTAATTTTAAAATGATGAGGGACCTAATGCACCCAGGAGCATGTTAAGGTGGAGGGCAGGAGCAGGTCCCAGYTGATGTGCTGCTGCTTTGGCAGTGGCAGGGGAATCTCATCATTCTCATGCCAGGTATTAAAAAGCAGTATTTTCTTGCTCTTTATTAATGTTTATTTATGAAAATCGAGGACCACTGCTTCCAGTGAACATTTGTGCTTTGGTATGTGAATGTGCAGGTCCTGCTCAGGTTTGTACTTGTGCTTCAGCAGGAATTGTCTGCAGGAGAAGAAAAACCACGGCAGCTTTCASATGGGAGGGTGTGAAAAACCCTGTTTGGTGTGGTCTGAAGGTGGCACTGGTGCATTTCAGAAGCAAGATAGCACAGAGTCAGCTCTGCTGAGGTTTTATGAGCTGTAGATAAAAATCCCAAGCCATCAGGTTTCTATTTCTTTCTTTATCAAACAGAAGCATACASGGGAATGCTGAGAAAGAGGGAGAGTCTGTTAAAGCAGGACGATAAGATTACAGATTCCAGGCACTGGGGCAGCTCTTTAGTGGGGTATAAATGTTATCAGATCCCACAGGAGTTACAGTAGTTTGCTTTTCGTGCTGTGTGCTTCTTTCTGTCTGAAGTAAGAAAGAAGGATGTGTTTGGAAATTCAGCTGCCCAAGGTATTTGCCCGAGGGAAGCGTTTCCAGTTTGAAGAACAGGACTGTGTGTCAGTGGTATTTTGCTTGGTAAACTGGATTATTTGCTTCACATTGCAAAGAGAGAAAGGATATTTTAAACACTGAGAAGATGTGATACATGCCCAAATATATTCCCAGTTTTGTGAAGGAATTGGACAACTCTTTCTTCACCTCAGTTCCCCCTGTGCAACACAGAGATGATAAAACATGCCTACTACTGTCTTAATTAATTCTTGTGTATAAGACTTAATTAATTTCTCTGTGTAAAAGTTTTGAGATTCGAGATTAACGGATGGAAGCTGCAAAGAAAACTGCCTGCAGCAGAATTGGAAAAGGAAAGTCAAAACAATCTCCCAGCTGATATTAGCTGGAGRGGCAGAGGTTCAGGACAGCACACGGTATGTGTGAAATTAGGATTGCAAATAATTCTGCCAGCAGCAGTTCTGCTGCTCTCAYCATAATACCATTTTTATTATTAATAAAATTATTTTATTAGTAATAAAAAAGAGAATGTTAGGTGTTCCCTTAAAAAGCGCTGGGAAGTTTTCAAGAGAAATAAGATGGAATCCTGGTCCATGAGAGTTCACAAAGTGAGTCCCTCTTGTACAGAAAGGGAAGGTTTGTGTAAGGAAGACCCTCATGGTAACACAGTTTTTGCTAGTCTGTCACAAACCAGGAGAAAAGTGATGCCTTGAGAAGAATTGCACCTGAGCCATGTTTGTGTGAACAGAGAGCAACAATATATCCTCAAAAGTGAAACAGGGAAAAAAAGGGGAAAGGAATAATTCTTTAGGGAAAGATTTAAAGAGTGAGAGGAGCTGTTAGAGATCAAGCTACAGGAGAAGAGTGAGGGCTTCAGCACTGAGAGAATTGTGGGCTGAAAGGATTCATTATCCATTATCCTTTGAGCTGCTGAGCTGAGATGGATGGGATGGAGAGCGGCTGATCGGGATGGTTTGTGCCTGGTTGATGGAGAGATCAGCTGAGGCCATGGGGGGATGAGTGTGAAGGAGCAGAATGGCAGAGAGGCAAAAGAAGAAAAGAGAAGCACAGGAAAGCCCTGCCCCAGGGAATGGGGGGAGAAGGAAGAGCGTGATCTCCTAAAGGATGCGTAGGAGGAGACGGCCCAGAGGTGGAAAAAAGAGGCAAGGACAGCRTTGCAAAATTAAGGAGAGAAACCATATCAAACAGGAACCAATGACCAGCGGTATCAGACGTGGAGGATTCTAAAGAACTAAGAAAAACTCCAAAAGTAGCTCTGCTGACCTACAGAAAGTGTCATTCCAGAGGAATGACAGCCAGACTCCTGAAGAGGCACTGTGTAGACTTCATGCAATCTGATAAAAAACAGTTCTATAAAAAGTTGCTTCCAATATTTTTACCCTGTTGTTTTAAAAAGAGATGTGAATCCCATTCTTTCCAGGTTCAGGAAGTGCTGTAGACTCCTTGTTTCCTGGTGTGGTCACAGGCCAAGGTGGCAATGAGTCCAAACAATRCTGTGAACAACCTCACACCACTGATTAGCATGGGTGGGACAAAAACAGAAGTGCAGACCCATCCAGGTTTAGTGTTTTTTTAAAGCTTTTATAGACTTTTCACTGCATTCCTCCTTTAACCAGCTGTCAGTGAAAAATGAAGAATGCATTTTCAACTTGTGCAAAAATGTCCAATCAGTGCCTAAGGTATTATCAGATGCTATAAAACACTTTCCCCTTTGGCTATGCATTCATTTTTTAAAACCCACCTTGTAGTCTGGTAAACTTGAGGAAGGTTTTAAAATTTCATAATACAAGTAGTTTYGATAGGCTGAACTCTTCCATGCTGCATTTGGTCATAACCTCAGCCTATTTTCTTGCCTGTGAAGCAGAATGGTGCTATTCTTCTGGAAAACATCCAGACCCAAAATAACCATGAAAAGTCACTGTAGAGTTCCTCAGGCAGGTTGTGCTGGTGTTTRAATACTTTCATATCTACACTGATATGTACCACTGCTCTCCATTGTCTTTGCAAGGYTTTCACTGCTGTCTCTGTCCTGAATTCCCTGTTTCTTTTGCRTGGTTGGCAGGTTTTTCTGTAGGTTTTTCAACAGGCTTTTGCAGCTGTACCTTAAAAAACACAGTCCCTTTCAATATCTTTGTTCAGGTTTCATCCCCATGCTTGCCTCTCTCACCAGGAGACCTCCTCAGGAAAGAATATTTTGTGAGTTTTTCTCCATGCCAGGTTGCCCTGTAGAAATCAGTAGCTGTGCATTTGAGATGAGGGTGCCCAAAGCCATTTTTGGGATCCTGGATTTACTGCCTGAACCTGCTCAGCAGTCAAATCACTCAACACTCTCCCTTGCCTCCAGAAAAAAAAAAAAAATCAGGCTGGAGAGCTCTTCTGGGGGCAAAGGAGCACCTCGAGCTGGAGGCAGATTTTTATTTTGTATCTGAGAAATGCTGAAGGTGCTCTTYTGGTGAGAATGAGTTTTGCTCTCCCTAATGCCAAATTTCACCTTGGCACAATTCAAATATCTGGTTAATCCTGCTCTCTTCACACARCCCAGTTTCCAGAAGGCCCAGCAGGCAGATGAATTATACTGTGGCTCTGATGAGGTTTTGTGAACTGTGGTGTGAAGTATAAAACCTAAAAACTGGAGAAAGAAACTGATAATGAATTGTTTGCATGCCCTGGATCCGAGTGCAGCTAAATGGGAATAATGGGACTGTGGGACAGGCGGGGTGAACCCAGTCACTCTCACTGAYTGGGGACATTCAGGTCCATGGTGATGCACATGAAGGACACTAAAGCCCCTGTAAATAAGGTTTTGGGATTAAAGTGTCAGCAGGATGTTGTATTTTTATATATGTGCTGTGATTTTGCACATTTTGGACATTSGTCCCTGAAGTTTTTCCCCACCTGTTTTTGTAATATCTAAGACTCTTCTGATACACAGAGCATGTCACATTCTTAAAGGTGGAAGAGGAAAGATTGAAAAATACGTGATGGAAACTATTTTTGAATGAGGCTACCTCAAGTGCAGTTATTGCATTTTAGGCATGAGTGATTTCACAGCATTGTCCACACTAAAACCCAYTGCAAGGTTTGGCTGGAAGGCAAACCAGACATCTAAAAGCACTCCAAGTTTGCCAAACCAAGATAAGAGCACATCTCTCTGAAGTTGTTTGGTATCCTTCATAAAGATCACAGTATTTGTAAACYAGCCAAACCTCAGTAAAATCAAAGGTTGTTTTTAATTCTTTCATAATACCAAGGCTCCATATGATCCAACATGACAGATAATAGCTTTGAAAACATTTACCATTTGTTTCTGGCCAAAAAATGTATTAATATCATGACGCCTCTTTTTGGCTTCTTTATTTGATGCATTTCAGCAATCAAAGCTTTCTAGAGAAGCCCAAGTGTTAATGAAATTAAATTTCATGGAGTGGTTGAAGGATAGCATCTATAATTAATTAAATCCCAAATTTCTGGTCTGTTGAATAATGCAGAAAGATCCATTTTCATGCTGAAATGTAATTCCTGCACTGTAATTTCTTTTTTTTTTTCCTGTGGAATTGAAGCAAAAAGGGAAAGAGAAGGATATTCAGTTTTAGCTAAATTTAAACTAACACTTGTACCCTGGGTGGAAATTTCGAAGGCTGTGAGTACGTGGAGGGATGGAGGATATAACAGAACCACTTTTGGTCAGCTTAAACCAACAGTGAAATTACCCTGAGTGTCATATAACTTATGAAAGTGAATTTTATGAGTGAATTTTAAGTGTTTTAGAAGCGCTTGGTTGCTCAGCAGGTGAAAATAGGCCTTTTTCCTAAATAAAGATTGGGGAGGCTCATGTTTGACAAGTAGGTTTTTGAAAATCTTGTCCCCAAATACTTCAGCAAAGATCTGGATTCATATTCATGGAAACCTTGCTAACACCCAGCTCTAACTTCATTCTCCAAATCATTGGCTTTGTGAAGYGTTCACCATCAAACTTGAATGAAGCTCTAATTCACAACGTTATGAGGGCAATTACTTCAAAGCAGGAGGAAATCTATTTTGGTACATGTATTTTGATTAATGAGCTTTCTGA